ATCTTTTTTGTTAAGATTCATTTCAAAATTTGCAATTTGTACTAGAAAATTTATATAGAATTCATTATAATTATTTGTTAAGATTCATTTTAAAATTTGCAATTTGTACTAGAAAATTTCTATAGAATTCATTATAATTATCTTCTTTGTTAAGATTCATTTCAAAAGGAAATATATAACGTCTATTTTCCCTTTTATGGGTCGCTTTTAATAAATTCAGGGAAATTTCGATACACGAATCCAAAGAAAGCACGAATCCAAGGAAAACAAGTGTAGAATATGATATATTTAAGTTACTTACGGTTGCTGCGATGACTTTCTGCGAGATCGTTCTTACGATTTATCATCATGTGTTAACGATGAATCTTAGAAATTTTCCCTCGCAGCAGATTCCAATGTTTCGGTGATCGCCGTGCATATCTCGTAGGCCGATGACAGGTGAAAAGATCATGCAAGATCATCATGCAAGAAATATTCCTCTCGTGGATCTGCAATTGAAAGAAACGTGAGTAAGATAAACAGTAAATTAGTTTTGCTTTTTAGAAAGAAAGTATCTGCTGCGACAGAGAAGATGAGATCAGTAATAAATTTAAATTATTTCTATTTTATTAATATTTGAATAAATATTTGTGAAGTTGATTAATATTATTTTATTCATCAAAATATATTTTTCTCTGTGGATATATATGATATAATCATCATATATAGTTAGAAACAACATAACACAATTTAATTTTTATCTTAGATACAAAGAACCAAGCATCTTATCATTAACATAACATATAGCTTTAATTAACAAAAATGAATCAAACTGCAGTAAATATTTTCTATTAACAACTAACTATACGAGTAATAAGACGTCTATTTGATGATTAAACAGTTAATAAATACAATTAAACAATATCCAAATTTACAACATCTATCCTGAACTAAAAGTATCCAATATAAAGTCCACCGAACAAACGAATTCTACAAACCTAGTCTAAACATGACATATAACAAATTTCCATACAACAAGTCGAGGAATTATTCCCCAAATTATAAACCTTAATCATCCAAATTCCTAATTTTCAAAATCCATGAAACCACCCATGAACCCTAACCGAAAAAAGGAAATCAATCACTGGTATACTTGGTGGGCAATAACCGTAAGGGCGTGATCCTGAAGCTAGCAACCGAAAGACCATCCAACGTAATAAAACCAATCAAATAACGACTTATAAATTCGTCACAGTCGCGATAAACGATGTATATAGACGAAGGCCTCGAACCCTCAACAGACGTTCCCTGACAAATAGACGAGGATTGGCTTGTTGTCGCGAGGGGATGGGGGAGACTCCTAGTCGAATTCATAGACGGCTAGGAATGTGCAATATTGTCGGCAGTCTGTCACACATTCGATCCGGTCAGCGTTCGAGATAAGGAGCCCGCTCACGCAAGCCCGTGGTCGTTTTATTACGCGCGTCCCACGGTAGCCCGCAGATGTATCAGACAATAAACTACAAAGGCCTGTTTGGGATTTGTGGGCTGCGTATTAATCTTGCCGTATTTATGTGTCGGCCTTCCAGAGAAAAAGCAGCCTCTGGATCATCGAGGGGCGGGGGGAAGAAGAAGGAGCTCGCGCGCGCGCGACGAAAGCATCGATTTCAGATAGAATCGAGACTTACCCTTGAAAAAAGGGGGGATTCGTCTGGTAAAACGGCCGGGCCGAGGATTGTTCAAGTGTGGGTTACATTGGATACGCTTGTCCTGGTTTGTTGGACGAGTTTTGTTTTTGGCCCTCCTAGGTGGTCCTTCTTTGAGGGGTTGGATCGAAGAATTGAAGGGCATCCGATGGGATGGTGGTGAAAGTCCATTTGGTACTAAAAAAAAGAGGTGATGTCTGATTATTACACTTCATTGTGTTTAATGTTTAGCGAAATTCGAGAGAAATGGTGATTTCTTTATTTATAAACTTAAAAGGAAATTAATTGTAATCTTTAAAAACAATTGCAAGGGAAGAAAAGATTCGAAATGAAAATGACTAGCTGTGGATAAGTTTTAAGAAGAGTGTAAGTAAGAAATATCAATCAATTGAGATGATATTTGAATTGGAATTATTATTGATGAGAAGCAAAGAAAAGAAGATGAAAGCGTATATGTAATGGAAAGAAATCGTTAGGCTGGAACATTTTTGATCGTTCAATTTACGTTTTTTCGTCGAGCAGGTGCGCATCGACGTTATGTTAATGGGAGTTCAGAAGATTTCGGTTAACCATATGCTATCCAACGAGGGTGGAGGCAGAAATACTAATACAAGCTGTTCGCAGAAGCAAACTCGAGTGAACGGTATCCCGTCCAGCGAGGTCTAATGATTACTGGATGCCTAAGAAACGCAAGAACGGAAGCCAATTTGTAAATTGCCTCGATAAACCAGAAAACCGATGTTAAATTTGTGCCTGAAACGAGTCTTCAGCTTCTAGCTGATGCTTATATCGTGAATCTCTTTTTATTGTATAGTTTTTCTCATAATTAGAGATTTTTGAATTTTATACTATATTGGCTGATATACTGAAAGCTTTCATAATATTATTCTTTTTTTAATAATCGTTACGAAAGTAAATTCTTTTTAAATAGAAAGATATTATTTAGAATTTAGTCGATCGATATTCATCAATTATTCAATTCATCCAATTTATCACAATCACGTCTAATACAAACATAACGTCGTGTTAATTTTCAATAACACATATAACTTGAGAATTATATAACTTGTGATTTATGCGTAAACTAATTTCCGAATACATTTCTACTCATATCATTTAAATCATTACACCTCGCATATAATAATCACAATGAACATTGTCTCGTTGCACGAATGCACGAAGATCTCAAGATGCGCTATTCTGCGAATGCTGGCACGATTGGCCGATAAAAATCAAGTTATCTTGGTGTTCCGCGACGAGCAGCCGCGTAACGCATGCGCTGACGCCATTAGAATATCGTGGCCGCATACCGGGACCCCGAAAACGAATGCCAGCCGAGGGAAAAGGGGTGACAGGGCCGACCGAAATGGAAGGGGTTAGCAGGATCGCCGGCGCCTTTGACCGGGAACCCCGTGGCGCGCGACATGCCTCGTCTGACCGCCATTTAGCGTGAACCTGTCTCCGTTTCGAACTAGCTGTTTCATTTTCAAAAATGTTTAGTCTAGTGACAAACATTTTTCGTCATGGGAAGCGAAATGAGAGATGCGTCAAGTGAAAAGAGTGGATTGATATTTTCAAAATATTATGTTCTTTGGTTAACGATTATAGAAAATGTGGTAAATATCGATAACTATCCCCTTATTTACTCATAAAATCACCATTGTTGGAGTACTTTATACTATTGATACTATCGAAACTGAATATTATAAAAAAAAAACATTACTTACATTTATATGATGAAATTGTAGATATTTGTCCGTAAGTGAAGAGGTTTATTGTCTTCAAAATGTGAATTCGTTGAATAATATAAGTCTAGAAAACACCGAAAAACGATTATGATCATAATTGTTCCATAAAATATTGGATTAAAATTAGATCAATACTGTATAATATTTAAAAAAAAACTTACTATTTAATATTCAGATAGAAGTGATAATAATTTGTGTATGTTCAAATGTAATTCTATCTTCAATTTCATTATAGATAATCTTAAAAAAAACACACAAAATACAATCATTTAACAAAAATTAATACTATGAAATATTTGTTTGTATAAATTACGTAGTTATCTTGAATTTAATAATTACCTAGACAATGTTATGAATAAAACGGAGCGATGTCTTCTTGCTTGGCAAAGTGTTGCCAGGATGCTACTCCATTCCACCCACGCATAGTCGTGTCTGATTTTGTGTTTTGCCGCTCGAAATTTCGGTGTTTGTTGAGCGGCGGTAGTAGGTCCCGGAGTTATGTTATGGCTGGCCATAAACGAAATGAGAAAACTGTCCGGCCGCCGTTGAAAAATCTCCGCGGAATACAAATGCTTGATTTTTTCCAGCGATGTTCACTTTTTGTTGACCGCGCCTACGAAGCTTTTTTCGGCCTCTGGCTGTAAGTTCCATCTTTGATAAATGGTGCGTACATCGTAATTTAAGAACAATACGATAATAATAAACGTAATAATTATATGGTTCTATCAAATATATTTAAAATTCATAATTAATTCAATCTTTTGAAATCACAATATTCATTGGGCATGTGAAGTTACGTGGGAACATAAAAGAGGAATTCGAAAAATTTGCAGCTTGATAGTGAAAACATAAAATTATCAATAAACTCACACTATATCTTTTCAATATGGTTTTTATGAATGTCAATGCACTTTATTCAACACTGCTAAGATCCAGACAACTTGCTTCTTGAAATTTTTTGAACAATTTCTTTTAAAAATTCACTATTTTACGAAAACTACGTCACACAAAATTCTATAACTATTTATGAGATAGATGTCGCAATTATTATGCGCATGCGCAATAAACTGCACCTATATTCAAGTCAATCGTTTCGCATAGTTGTTACTACGATTCGAAAAATTCACGATTTGATAATGAAAGCATAAAATTATCTATAAACTCATACTGTACCTTTTCAATATGATTTTTATAAACGTCAATGCGTTTTATTCACCACTAAGATCCAGAAAATCTATTTCTTAAAGTTTTTTGAACAATTTCTTTTAAAAATTCACTACTTTACGAAAACTACGTCATACAAAATTCTATAACTATTTATGAGATAGATGTCGCAATTATTATGCGCATGCGCAATAAACTGCACCTATATTCAAGTCAATCGTTTCGCATAGTTGTTACTACGATTCGAAAAATTCACGATTTGATAATGAAAGCATAAAATTATCTATAAACTCATACTGTACCTTTTCAATATGATTTTTATAAACGTCAATGCGTTTTATTCAACACTAAGATCCAGAAAATCTATTTCTTAAAGTTTTTTGAACAATTTCTTTTAAAAATTCACTACTTTACGAAAACTACGTCACACAAAATTCTATAACTATTTATGAGATAGATGTCGCAATTATTATGCGCATGCGCAATAAACTGCGCCTATATTCAAGACAATCGTTTCGAATAGATATTACTACCATCTATGAATTAGATTACAAACTATTTTTCAAATAAAATTTTCAAATTCTTTTTCAAAAAATTTCTCTTATTGAGAATCAAAAGAAGAAAAATTCAATTCTTGAAATTCCTTTTCATAAATATAACGTTAAAAAATGAAGCTCGATAACTTATATAAGATATTAACTAGAAAAAAAAACTATAAATAAAATGTTGAGTCAATATTGACTTTTAAAGAATTAAACTCCACACAACATCTATTCAACCAAATTTCAAAAGAACACTAAATTGTCATCATGTAGCATCATTGGTCCTTCATCAAATTCCCATCCATGAAACATATCGAGCATTAACGAAACTCTCAGGGACAATCGGGCTTGAATACGAGATCACTCGATCCGGGGCTTTTCTTTCGATTCATGGCTAGCAATTAATCTCGATCTTGTTCCTATAGCATGCTGCCGTAGGCCTGCACAGTCGTTAATTCGGCGCTGACGAAGGCACCTGACGCGACGTAGTAGTGGGGCTGACGGGAGCGGGGGAGAGGGTTGGGCCGCTTTCG